TCCGATTAGCAAAACCGTTATCCGAATCCGCATCCGTATCCGACGGATGTCTACGATACTAAATCCGAATCCGAATCCGGCGGATACGGATGCGGATTCGGATATATCCGCATCCGATGGAGCATCCGACTAGTAAAAAATCCGAATCCAAATCCGTTTCTAGATTCGATAAAACATCCGATTCACAAGGAAAAACCGTATCCGTATCCGAATATGTAATATGAAAATCTAAAAATCTAAAATCAACCAAGCACAACTAAAAGCTTTACATCCTTAACCAAGTTTCTGAATCTACAAATCAAATAACAAAGAGATTTGACCTTGCAACAACCAACAAAAATTGTAAAACATGAAATCTAAATTTGTAACCAAAAAGTAAAATCAGTTAAATCACATCATGAAGTGCTGAGCTGAAGCCGCAGACTCGCTGAAATGGTCGCTAGATTCGGAAAATAGCTGAGGAAGACGACGCCGCTAGGTCAGTTGGTCGCTGGATGCTAGTTCCGGAAAAAAAGTGCTCCGTATTAGGTATTATTTAGGTTTAATCAATACCCCAAGTCTCAATAGTGGTTTTGGGCCTAGGCTTAGTGGGCTGAGTAGAAATTAGAAAACTAGGAGTATACTTTATACATAAAAATATTAATTAGTCTAAACTACAGATAATTTTTTTTAACTACGGATAATTTTTTATTACCTATATTTGGTATAACGGATCGGATAATTGGATATGCGGATATATAAACGGATGTATACACGGATCAGATTTTAAACGGATCGGATCAGTAATTACCAAATCCGCATCCGTTTATCAATCGGATGTGCTTAATCGGATACGGATAATATCCGTTTAAAACGGATGCGGATTTTTTCCATTTAAACGAATACGGATGCGGACGGTAATCGGATTTTCGGTTATCCATTTACACCCCTACATGCGGTGAAGCCTACCCGCCAAAACCCAAAGCCTCATCAATCATCATCATCGTCTCTCTCTCTCTCTGTACAATGCGGCCAATGCCTATTTCCTCCTCTCTTTAATTACTCATTTCCCTCTCTCTCTCTCTCTCTCTCTGTGTGTGTCTGTCTCACTCTCCTTAAGCTAAACTCTTTCTCGCTCTAATTTCTGTTCATTTCTTCGGAGGGGAAAGCCATGGCCACAGATCAAGACGGGTTGAAGACGTGCGTTGTCTTGGGCGGGCGAGGTTTCGTCGGCCGATCTCTGGTCGGGAGGCTCCTGAGACTCGGCAATTGGATCGTCCGAGTTGCCGATTCAGCTGCATCTCTCGAACTCGACCCCTCCCAATTTGAAGCCGATTCGCTTCTCTCTCAAGCCCTCGCCTCCGGCCGCGCCTCCTATCACCGCGTAGATGTTCGCGATAAGTCGCAGATCATCAAAGGTACCTTCACGAGGCACAATGCACGGCACTTGCGTCTTATTTTATGTATAAATTTATGCGAATTTATATACGTATCTTCTTTTTATAAGGTGCAATGGGAAACGCTGCAGAGATGTAATGGTTATCTTTATTACTTTTGACATTCGCGTTTGTTTAGTGTTATGTGTACTTAGTCACATTAAGAAACAATGCATTGACTGAATTTTTTGAAAATTATCCCTATTTGATTGCAATTGGGTTTTAATTCATCTGATGTTGTTTTTGGTTTTTCTTAGGTTGTTAGGGAAAATGGATATGCCTTAGAAAGTTGACCTACTAACGCCAACTGGACATAATACGCGATCAGTATTTAACAGTTAGAAAAATGCATATTTGAATCTAGTGTGGAATAACTTTTCTCGATGCAGACAAGATTTCAACATTTCGGCTGATTTGCTGCAACTTAGTTTAATCTGTAATAGGACACTATTCTCTGAATGACTAATTCATGGCATTCATTTCTCATATGCAGCTCTTGAAGGTGTGTCAGTTGTATTCTATATGGATCTTGTGGATTCACACCTGCCTGATTTGTTCTTTTGCTATGCAATCATCGTTCTAGGTAATTTCTGTTTGTTTAATGAGATCATATAAACACTTTTGATCATATTTAAATGAGTATTCACCATGACAATTTAAGTCATAGTAGAATCGTTTGCCATTCAGGTGCGAAAAATGTCATTCAAGCATGTCAGGAGTGCAAAGTCAAACAACTAATCTACAACAGCTGTGCCGATGTTGTTTTCGAAAAGGGACGTGATATTGAGAATGGTGATGAGTCCTTGCCTTATGCTGGTAAAGTACGTTTCTGATTCTTCATCATCCATATTTAAGATTTGACTTGCACAGTGCACCTGTTGAATTCCACATCCGTTTTCACGTTTATTCATTCATTGCATGTTGCAGTTTGAGAATTTGTTGACTGATCTTAAGGCTCAAGCTGAAGCTCTTGTCTTAGTTGCTAACAATGTTGATGGCCTTCTTACATGTTCACTTCGTCCTAGCTATGTTTTTGGACCGGGGGATAAACAGCTTCTGCCATTGGTTGTGAATATGGCAAAGTCATGTTTTTCCAAGGTTTGAAAGCCACTCATCTACTTCATTCATTTATGCAGATTGCGGGAAATATTCTTCTTAGAATGTAACATCAACTAGTCACGCGTTCAAAATTCAATTCACGCTTTATGTCTATAATTAACTACTACATCACATCACGTCTATAGATGTGTCCATGTAGCTGGTTATACTTTTAACACGGCATGCTCTGGATATTTCCATTTCAAAAACTGTGCATACTTTGCCTTTTGGATTAAGATCATCTCACACATGCTCAATACCATTAGTTTTATTTGGTGACTTACACTTCTTTGCCTTTTGTTCCTGATCTTTTAGAATAAGTAATAGAAATTCTCATTTCAGTTTATTATAGGGATTGGTAATAATGCACTGGACTTCACTTATGTGGATAATTTAGCCCATGCCCATATCTGTGCTGAAGAAGCTTTAAATTCTAAGACGACTCATGTAGCTGGCAAGGTACTGACTTGAAACTATTCATTGTTGAGATTTTTTCTTCTCATGAAACATAGCCATCTGTCATGCTAGATGTTGCAACTTATGTTTTGCAGGCCTTCTTCATCAATAACCTCGAGCCCATGAAGTTCTCATCATTTGCATATCTGATCTTGGAAGGATTGGGGTATCAAAGGTAAGGCAGCCTAGATTGCCTTCAAGTTCATTCGTTTTCTCATAAATTAGAGACAGGTTCATTAAGATACTCTTAGACCAAACATGGGCGATACAATGAAACATATGATCATATGAGTCCATTCTTTACCTTATTGAAATGCTAATAGTGGCGGTCAATTAATTTTTGAAAATGAAAATACATTTTAGTTTTAGCCTTTTGGGTAATAATGCAGACTTGTAGGGATTTCAATCTAATTTAAAGGAATAGTATCTTTGGCCATTTATTCAGTTGATTCTCTGTACATCTGTGTCTGGCTTTCTCGTAATGGAGTTGAAAAAACAGTCTATCTTTTGATTCTTTTCTATTATTTGGATAAGTAAAACATCTTGGTGCAAGATGAACTATATCAGACATGAATTTATGGTACTGGGTTTCCTGAAAGGGCATTTTCTTTATGTCTATTTGCAGGCCAATATTTAAGCCTCCATCTAGTATGGTTGAATACATTCTTTCTATTGTAAAGAGCTTCCATTCAAAGATAAACAGTGGGAAGCTTGATGACCATGCATCACTTTACAGTTCTTATGACTTAGCCTTGTGCAGCAGGACTTTTAACTGCTCTGCATCACAGAAGTGTTTAAGATATTCTCGAATTGTTCCAATGGAAGTAAGTTTGCAACTGCTTTATCAGACCTCATGTTTTGTTATTTATATTTATTCAATTCTTTGATATGGTACTTTTTTTCAGCTGATATGGTACCGCGCTACCGCATTAAGATTAGTTTCTTGCAAACA